AAGTCCAAAAACCGATTCAAATCTGCATTTGTTCTTTTGGGAAAAGTTTCATCCAAGCGAAATTACCGATCTTACATCAAAAACTCTTAGTCCATCGTGATAGTCTGCATAGCGCGGTAAGCATCAATGTCATTATTACGAGAATGAGTAACGCATACAGACAGTAGGACCAGTGCGAACCTCTGCGAAGCAGAGGTGACGCACTGGTCATTTATAACATCATTCTATACCAGTGCGTCACCTCTGCTTCGCAGAGGCTCGCACTGGCCTACTTTCTGTATGCCTAACTCATTCCCACATAATAATGACATTGAAACTCACCGAGCCATGCAGGCTATCACGAATGATTTGTAAACAACTACTCATTCCTAGATCTTCTTTGCGTGAGATCGGTATTTTCGCGTGGATGAAACTTTTCCGAGAAGAATTAATGCGAATTTAAATCGGTTTTTGGACTTTTTATTCCCTGGTAGTCGCCATAACGACAATAGTCACCGTGGGCTATATCCCTGTGCAAAAATCTTCTCAAACGATCAAGTAAAATCTTGGCAAATTGAACATTTATGCAACTTATTCTTTTTTGGCGCCATTTTCGTAAACTACTCAACTTTATTTCAATTTTTTGGGTTAATGTCCATGGCTTGCGCATCAGCTTGTCAAACATATCCATGACTTCGCAAAAAGTGTTGGTACCGGCCCAAATTTGCTGGTCAGAAGCCAAGTAGATCCGTTTGACGCGCAATTTTTAACGGATCTACTCAACGGATCCGCTCATGCTTTTGCATGGTGAACTTTCATGCAGGTAGAGTGCGCTATGCAAAATTTGGGCTTAGGACGTTCGCTGGAACACGCTCTACGAATTTCGTAACGGACAGACAGACACACACACACACTTACAAAAGAACGTAAACATCCTTAGCCCGTTATTATAAGTTATGATTTTTTGGTTGTTCACAATTGTTCGTAATAGTCAGGAGTACCACCTGTCACTTCGTAAGGAATGATCAAACTCAAAATCATAATTTGTGGTACTTTATTCACAATATTATTCTGGAGGCCGCATGCAGTAACATCTCCGCCAGGGAGGGAATCACAAAAGAAGCCTCATATTTTGAAGCTCATCTGGATTTCACACTAACCATTCGTAAGTATTCCCACCATCCTTCACTGTGAACACATTAAACAGGAGCAGAAGCTGTACGAGCCACATTTTCCAGCTTTTTGTATGATCCCCTGATAATCCCCAGCTGCCGACCGTCCTTTCTTTAAAGTATTCTTTCTTTCTTCGAAGTTAACGAAAACATCCCAAAACTATACCGTATCTAGCCCAGCATGCTAAGCATGTTGCTGGTAAGAACAAATGAAGTTTGGAATCATAAAATTTGCGATAAACCACAACTCGAAAGTTGGGGTTTGTCGGGAAATTCGATACTTCAAACACTCATTTGTTCTTTTGCGCAACATGCTTTACTGTTGGGTTAGGTAATCGGTACAACTCTGAAATGTTTTCGCTAACCTTGAAGAAAGAAAAATGACTTTGAAGAAAAGGTGGTCGGCAGCTGGGGATCACCAGGTTATCACACAAAAAGCTAAAAAAAGGCGGCTTGTAGATCTTCTTGCTCCTGTTCAATATCTTCACAGTGAAGCACGTGAAAATACCTACGCATAGGTTATACGGCGTGAAATGCAGATATCTGGAGCTTCAGGATATGAAGCTTTCTTTTGAGCTGCGATCCCTTCCCAGGCGGGGATGTTAATGCATGCGGCCCCAAGTGGTTCATTGAAGTGAAAGAGCGAAACGATTCTGGAATCTTGTAGAAATGCTTTGTAGAAAATTCTATTTTAGAGCCAGCCCCTTTTCCAAGACGTTGAGATCATAAGCCCGTAAATCATACAAGGTAAGGACCTTGGGTCGAAGCGGGGTTCCCACACGGAATGTATATGTGCTGGACTTCGGGCATTAATACCAAATCGCGTTCCTTAGCTGCTCAGTGATCTTCTGGAAAAAGCTACGAGTGATGTTTCTCCAGGATGACGCGGATCGCTTAAATTAGCGACGACGAGAAGTGTCAGTTGTGGGGGATGACCGAGTGAATAGTTGCGGGGACCTATAGAGGAAGTGGTAAAGAATTCAGAATACTTATGTTCCAAATATTCTTGCATTGTTGCAAATTAATCAACGGGTGCCGGACAGTGGCGTACCCAGGATTTCGGCTCGGGGGGGGGGGGGGGGAATTCTTTATAATGCAGGTGCGTGGCGGCGTCAGCCACTCCGAAAAATTATTTGGGATGTAGAATTTTTTCCGAGCATCCATTCTCGGGGGGAGGGGGGCGCCCCCCCCCCCTTCCCGCCTCCCTTTCCCCTCGGTACGCCACTAATGCCGGGTGTTTCTCTGCCTTAGGGCTCTCTAAGGATACATTTAACAATAAAAACTACAAAATGCAAGTGTTTAGAACATAAGTATTCCGAACTCTTTTCCACTTCCTTTATAGTCTCCGCAGCTATCTAGTCAGCCACTCCTCCACAACTGACATTTCTCGGGCCGCTAGCTTAAGCGATCGTGGTCATTCTGGAAACCATCGCTCGTGACTTTTCCCAGAAGACATTGAGCAGCTAAAAAACACGGATTGTTTCACCCAGCACGGTTGTTAGTGCCCCAAGACCAGCGCAATGATATGCTTCACGTGTGGGAACCCCAATCCGACCGAGGGTCCTTCCCTTGTTAGAATTTTTCTAATACTGCTGCGACTACAGAGGGAGCCTCATATAGGAGGCAGAGCGTCTGCCTGCATTCGTTTTATGTATTTGGTTGTCTACTTTGTCCATGTTTGTCCATGTTCGTTTATTCCGCAAATCAATACAAAAGTTTTTGCCTCCAATTAAATCAAAACATATAATGCGTTAAAAAAATGAAGGAAGAAAAAAGCGGTTTTTGGTCAAAATCGTTTGTTGCTCAATCTGTGAGTAAAAATCAATGGGAAGGGAAAAAGTAGTAATCATGATAATCACGCACTAGTTTACATCATAGACATTAGAACTCTGATGATCCCTTTGCGCATTCCAGTATAAGGAAAACTTACTCTCCCCACCATTCGGGCGTCCTCGCACAAGAAATAAAGACGACAAAAGGACTCGAGCTCTACCTGCGAATATGCACCTTGCCATTGATGATAGGAATTTTGTTTGAAAGCAGGTGTTTAAAAAAAGGCAAGATTCATTTGTCATGTACAGCAAAAGCATCTAAGATAACACTCAGCTACTCCTTGCACCATGACAATTGTTCAGATATGCGGATTCGTGAATGTCAGCTACGTCGTGCAGTCTTCGAAAAATGTGGCCGATATCTTTCTTATGAAGTAAAAAACAACTCTGAACAAAAAAGGTCACTTGAACAAAAGAGTAGCGCCCTCTTTTCGCATCCATTTCCACACATTACTGTCGACAGTCATGTCTGGGTTTGAGAGAATACTTGAATGAAGAATAGAATAAAGGAAGTGCAAGTCGCACAATACATTGATTCATGTCATTCAGCCGAACGTAGGAGTTTTCGAAAGCGTGCCAAACGTGCTTTTTTGGTTCTCAAAGACTGCCATCTACCGCAGTGCTAGAAATGATCTCAAGCACTGCTGCGATGATAGCCGCGACCAGGGCTCAGCACAGCTGGCACCGGGTCAAGCTGAATATCGTTTTTAGGGCGGAAAGCAAAGGGGATATCGTTTCCACAGGGGCCGAGGCGGAGAACCGCCGCAAAAATGCCGCCGGCATGCCACGGCATGCCATTGGCAAGCTGGCCATCAACAAACAAAGGCGTTGTTTTCAGCCAAAACGCAATAGTATGACACCAAATTTGGTGTGTGCATGCGCGTTGGTGGACCGGAACTATGGGCCAAAATTTTATGAAAACTTATGTGACTGAAAGCTGTGCCGAACTTTTTTCTGAATTAGCTGGCACCGTGCCAGCTGGGTGCCAGCTGAGCTGGCACCGACACTTTGCTCACATAAGTTTTCATACTTTTTTACATAAAATGTATCTATACTGTAAAAGATTACATACGGAAAAGAAACAGTTTCATAATGTTCTCTTTTCAGCGTTTTATAGCAATTTGAAAACCACTCGGTCCGCTCCGCAATCGAAAAATCGGCTTTTTCTGCTTCTCAAGATGTGATTCGACCACTTGAAAAGCTCAGAAAGCTGTGAAAAGTTCTTTCGTGCAATCAGAAATGCATGAAAACACTAGCACATTTTTTTACATAGTATAAAAATGATGACGGGTTTTCAAAACAGGTCAAGAGGGACTTCGTATGAAATTTTCAATATCAAACGGGACTTCGTTTTGAAATTTCCCTGGTGCCAGCTCGTGCCGAGCCCTGGCCGCGACAGACCGGTACTGTTGCACTGCCTATATATACGGTAAGATTGTTGAGATATAGACACGAGAATCTCCTATTGAAGACCTTTTGATTGCATACGCTAAAGCACAATTACAGCACATGTGAACGTCCTAGACTACTAAAAACTTTTATTCGATGCTAGGTACCATTTTTTCACAAATTAAAATCTTGCTGGATTTTCTCTTTTTTGCTAATTCTGCAAATACAACAACGCCCCGCTAAGTTGGCTTGATCAAAAACTTTAAAGCACTATTTTATTCAATTTGAAAGCGCAATTCAGGTGTGGTGCTTGCGGTGGAAGAAAGTTTCAAACAGTCTCTTTTACAGGCATATTTTCAACTTTGCAAACTTCTAACAACAAGAGCAGTCTGAGCTTACTCCGAACCTTTTAGAATAAAAGAGAAAGTGTCTATGTGTCTTTATTAAGTCTTTATTGTCTTTTCTTTATCTTGTCTTTATTATTTTCATTCTTTATTGTCTTTATTATTATTGTCTAATTTATTTTAAAAGTGTCTTTATTTTATGTGGAGAGGATGTAAGTACTTTATTCGAACATATTGATATACAATCGTGTTCGAAAAAGTAAAGCGATTGTTTCTTTCTTGTTTGCTTTCTGTCTTCAGCGCTGCCCTACCGGGGTTTCCATCTCATTTATAAATTCCTCCTAAATTGTACAATAATGCCCCTTACTCCAATATGAAGCACCTCACCATATCTCTAAGCTCCTCGTCATGTGTTCCTTTTGGAGCACGAGGAAGTCTTCTTCGAGACTGTTTCCTAAAATGCAGCACTTCACACTTTTTGCCACTCGGATATTAATGATAATGAGTTGATTCTTACGAGTGTTTGAGCGAAGCTTTCTTTGAAACCTGGATGAAAACATAAAAAGATGTGCCAATATCACTGCTTAATAAAATCGGGAAGCGCATTTCCCACCTTTGTATTTATAGCAAAGTAATCATCATCTGACTGAGTCCGCCACAATAATGGCATGTCTTCCTCGTTCGCTACTGTCGCTTGTGTTTTGTTGGGCACATCATCCGTGCCAGTTTTCGATTCGATCTCTCTGGCCTTCACGTTCTGAAATATTTTGGAGTAAAGGAAATAGTGAACATGCTAAAAAGTAATCTACACCTCCTCCCCAAACTTATTTCCCTCGGGTAAGTATTGCGTACGATCTAAGGTTTTCTGCCGCAAGTTCTGCACTTCTAGCTTCCTTGGTGACATAGGGGTCTTTGGGAATCTTTTTGAGCCACCGAGTTTATGTGTCGTATGGTTCGGTTTAAGTACTTGTGATTTCGTGACGACCTCCTGAATTTCACGATGCCAATCAAACCAGCCTCATTTGTAGCGTTATGCTTGCCTGCGTAAGCTCAATTTTTGGCGAAGAAGAAATTGATGGGGTTTGTGTCCGTGATCGTATCATAAGAAACTGAAAATCCAGTGGTTGAGCCCTGCTTTGAAGTATGCGAGTACATACGAATTCGTAACTTACCATCAAGTTATTAAGGTAGATTAACAAAACAGTTAGATGTATGATTGAAGAGAGCAGCATGACGAGGTCGAAGGATATCATCTGCAATATTGCATTACTTCAAATGCGCACAGTCTCAGAGGCCTTTTAGGAAGCTCCAATAATGTGCGTACCGTGCGTAGAAGGCATACGAGATAAATTGACCTAGCTCAATTAGCGCCATTAGAAATTGCAAACAAATACATTTTATCATTGATCTGTTCATTCATTCGAGTGACGTAAAGATTGGCAGGTCGTTTTCAATGTACATTGCTTTTGACTTTGAAACTCATGCTCTCCTGGTAACGCTTTGACGTTCTCCCTTTCGGCAGATGGCAGTATGTCGCCAGAATCCTTGTTTCGGGAACTGCTTGAGACTATAACGTGCAAGAACGCATGTTTATGGTAGATGTTTGATCAAAGCCTAACATGGTACTTTAAAACCGTCTAAATGTGGTTAGCTTATACAAGCATCGAAGGACGCACATCAAACGGGTCGAACGGCCTTGAATTCAGAACTCAAAACCTGAACTGAGATAAAGCAGACTTTCGACGAACTCTGGAAAAGTTATGCGGCGCCGCCTAAGTTGGGCAGCCGCTACTTTACTTCGCCGCCTAACTGGGCTGCCTAAGCTAGCCAATCATAGCGGTTTTTTTTCCACGAATTATGGCTAGTATTGTAAGCTCACTGCAATAAAAGTGCACTAAACAAAATTTTTGGTGATGTTGATGAACACTTTAAAGTGAAGCATATTGTTTGAAGAGACTTTAGTCAAAATAGAAGTTATCTAGACTTTGGATCGCTGTATTCTTGGGAAAACAGCATGATCCTAACCCAAAGTAACGTAGCATGACGGGGTATCCAGAGTATCCAGTTTTAAAGGTGAGGTAGTGACTTGCAGACAAACTTGTGAAACCATATTTCCTGTAAAGCAAAGCAACGAACAGGACTCGGTAGGAAATGGCTTTCGCAAATTTCTGGAAACGAAGTTGACGACTCTGACTTTGAACAAAACACGACATCTCTCCCCCATGACACGCTTATGAAACACCAAAACATGAATAACAAGAAACAACAGAATAAAGTACTAAAAAAGCATCAAAACAAAGGTGAAAAACCACCTAAAGATGCTCGTATTTTGTGATTTGGCCGCAAGTTGTGTCCGGCCATCAAACATTTTTAGAAGGCTGCATCTAGGCGGGGAGGAGGGGGTTTGAGGAGATTAAAAAACTCATTTGTAATTTTGCATGTCAATAGAATTAAATAGAAGAAAAGGGTTGTAAAGTGAGAAGAAATTATGCTCTGAGCCACGTTGTGAGGAGCTCACCAGGTGGCTCGAAGGCCACCTAACTACGAAAAAGTCTGCTAAGACTTCGGTTCACATAACTTTTTCATAATTTTCCATACATAGCTCCTACTCCCTATCGCTTTCTACGCACCAATAATGTCATATCAGTTGCTCTTCGCTATAAACAAGCCTTTTGTGTATTTCGAAGCACATTATCGAATTCCCGCTCTTACACGAAGAGCGGAAAATTTTTGGATTAGCAGAGAATGGGAAAGATTGAGAGATGATGAGCACTTGCACATTTTCAGAGGATGAGAAGGTGGAATAAAAGAGGAGGGGTGACTTGAAGGGTGGGGGGGGGGAAGGGAGAGAATGAAAGTTGGGGAATATGTATATTTCTGACCCATATAAGAGCTACCAGATATTTTGTACTGTAAAGAAGGCTTGCCAGGTTAAGACTGCAAAATTTGTTAAGTTGATGGGCGTAAAGTTAGCCAACTCCATGTTCTTTTACTCGGCTATCATAACTTATAATAACGGGCTAAGGGTTGTCTACGTTTGTGTGTGTGTGTGTGTGTGTGTGTGTGTGTGTGTGTGTGTGTGTGTGTGTGTGTGTGTGTGTGTGTGTGTGTGTGTGTGTGTGTGTGTGTGTGTGTGTGTGTGTGTGTGTGTGTGTGTGTGTGTGTGTGTGTCCGTTACGAAAGTCGTAGGGAGAGTTCCAGCCAACCTCTTGATAGATTTTGCATAGAACATCCTAGCAGCAGGAAAGTCCACTGTGCAAAAGCACAGGCGGCTCCGATAAGTGGATCCCCTGGAAACTGCGCGCGAAACGGGTCCACTTAACTTCTGACTAGCAAAATTGGGTCCGTATATAAACTTTTTGCAAAGTCGTGGATATGTTTGACAAGCTAATGTACAAGCCGTGGACTTTAGCCCAAAAAATTCAACTAAAGTTGGTTACTTTACGAAAATGGCGCCAAAAAGTATTAGTTGCGTAAATGTTCAATTTACCAGATTTTACGTGATCATTTGAGAAGATTTTTGCACAGAGATGTAGCCCACGATGATTATTGCCGTTATGGCGACTATAAAGCCATCAGAAGTCCACAAATCTATTCAAATTTGCATTTATTCTTCTGAGAAAAGTTTCATCCACGTGAAATTACCGATCTCGCACAAAAAGCTCTAGGAATGAGTAGCTGTACAAATCATTCGTGATAGCCTGCATAACGCGGTGAGTTTCACTGTCGTCATTATTCGGGAATTAATAGGGCATACAGAACGTAAGGCCAGTGCGAGCCTCTGCGAAGCAGAGGTGACGCACTGGTCATCTTATAAATGTCAGATTGCCTTATACCAATGTAGATTGCTTTGCGTAATCGGAAAGTGGAAAATCTTTAACCACTCCTAAGACTCCGATTTCATGAAGGGATGACGTTTTATACACACCATACTGAGCTGCTAAGTTGCTTTTCAACAGGTTCCACTCCCGATTCCGCAAAAACGATGTGCTCTTTGTTTTTACCCTCAAACGCTATACAGCCTGCTTTGTAAGCCATCCATGCCGAGCATTGGCAACGAGCGGAATTGGTTGCATGTAAGGACTTCTGCGAAACACATGGCTGCATGTAAGGGCGGCTAAATAAGTCTTGTCTATAACCCTTTCCCTGCCCCTCCTTATTCACCACATATATGGTAGCGGCCCTGGTACTTAAGATGTGCAGGGTGCAAGCGCCGTGATTGCCGGATTAGAACGATGACGCTACCACTTGATTCTCATCTTGCCGGAACCCTGTGCGAGAGAAATTCCTCTATATTTGGTTGTTTGCGTTGTTAATTATTCAGCAGGAACGCCTACGATTCAACGCATATCTACATTCTGTCATCACATAATTGAGCAGTGCTTCGTTTGTTCATACTCATCGTGAGCGTATTCCGAGTATACAGATGAGGCGTTTTATGATTTTACAAAAGTTATACTGGCTAAAAATTTGATTTACGAGTATCGAACTGAAGAAACATGGTGAATCGATGGATTTACGAGTATCAGAAAGATACTCGGAGAATGGGGTGTTTGGGCAGTAACTGCGACCCAAAAAGTGTTTATTATATTATACACGGCGTCCCAAAAGTAAGTACACACTTTTCAATCGTTAATATCTCTCTTCCTATTGTGCCTTTTTTCGCCTCTTAAGTACCATTCTGTAGAGGAAGCTTCAACTTAGATTTACAGTATTGAAGGAATCAGCAATCGCTCTTCATTACTGTAGGATTACTGTAGGAACTTCGACAAGGATTTTAGGCCATTGGAAGCCATATTCTACCTCAGAACAAAACCAAACAAGCCAAAATCTCTTATACTATGGTAATGAGAACTGCTGATTTCGATTATGATATTTCCACTTTACTGTAATGTTTATTTCCAAAATTATGCCAAGTAAACCGTAATAACCGAATTCCCAGTATTTGTCAAAATGTCATTTCACCGTCAGGAAAGCTAGAAACACTTGTCAAAAGTTGTGTAGTGAAATCGGCGTGCACAAAAACCTTAGTACACGATTTTTCAGAATTTTTGATAAATATTTTGTTGAATGGCATTGTTCACAATGGTTCCACACGCTGGAAGTTCTTACCGTAATCTTACCGCAATAAAGAGCGATAGGTGGTTCGATAGATACTGGAAATTTGAGTTGAAGCCTCCTCTACAAAACGGTGCCTGAATGGCACAAAAAGACCCACTGGGAAGAGAGACATTGACGATTGAAAAGTGTGTACTTACTTTTGGGACACCCTGTATATATTATAATATTTCGTGTCTTATTTATATACATTTATATTTATATTTATATTTACTATTGTTTTTAATCTCGTATTCCATTATTTCAGTCAAGGGTACACCGCAAATTATCAAATGATGAATATTTACAATGCAGTCACATGGTGATTTAATTTATCAATAAAGTGCTTTCTAGAGCACATTGGACTAGTGAAGACTAGCTATGTTAAACGTCTATCGTTACTCATCTCGCTAACATCAAGATCACATATCTATGTTCCAGCATTTGTGCTTATGACTGCAACCCCTTTTGTAGATGATTTCGATCTTCGCTTTAGTATGTTCTTCAATATCCAAGCGCGATAAGGTTTGATAAAATATAGAGATCCCAGCGGGGTTAACACTGGCATGAAGCAGACGAATGAAAGCGAAGTTATCTCTATGAAAGGATGATGTATAATATCCAATTGTCCCACTACGTATGTAGCAGCTGTAAGCAAATAGAAGCATGGTATGCATGCCTGGTAGACGATGGCCTGTAAAAAAATAAAGTAATTGGTAGAATGCAACTGACTTTTAAACAATACTTTCAGTAACATCGAATGCATTTGACGAGTTTTTTCTAACATGGCCTTCATTGTGCTAAGTTTTGTCACGATGCGCCTCCGGAGTACCAAAATGATTATATAAACGGGGATTATAGGCGTAACAATATGCACAGCCATGTATAGTACTCCAAACTTCAAAATGGTACGGTGCCCGCTAGCGCAGCTATCTTTCGTGTCGTACTTGAAATATTTTTGCAATTCCCCCCTAACAATAGGCTCGGGATCACTGGATAAACTGTATGCTGCCTAAATCAAAATGCTTCAAGAAATATGTACACAAAATATGTTTTCAACAGTTACATAGCACACAAACCCACAAGCTGCACAAAGCATGGTATGTAAAATATGAAAACCACAAGTAATGTTGTGTAAGTTTTTGGAGCGGAATGAGATAGAACATAATAACGAAAGATAAATGACAGAAGCGTCAGATATAGATTAAATATATGACAGTGCAACAAAAAGCTAAACCTTAAACGCAACATCCGATAGCTTGAATAAGGATTTGATATATGAACTCACACTACGAAACAAGTTGTAGTTCCACTCAGACGACATGGACCATAAGACATGTAAAACAGGCTCAGATCTCGCGGGATCATTCTAAAACTAATCCACTTCAAACCGTGGTATGTTATTGGTTACTTTGCTCCTTCATGAGGAGACTTTCGAGATGAATCCTTTACCATCTTAAAGGCACCGTCCACCCAAATTGGAGTTGGCGAGATTATGATGGCATATTAGTGTGGGCTCCCACGCTAGACAAGCCCTTAAGCTTCGCCGCAAAAGACAGCTTCTGGAGCGAGAAATCCGCTCCGGAAGCAGCAAAGAAGGCGGGGCGACCGAGGTCGCCCCGCCCACTTACATGCTTTATCTCGCCTGCGCTTGTTGCAAAGGGTTCTCGAAACAGGGATTTTTGAGGGTTTTTGGATTTTCGACTCCATACTCGAAATCAGGGCTTTCAGAAGGCCTGAAGGCGACAAAAACATTGAATTCGAGATTGTGGACGGTGCCTTTAAGGAGCATTGACCGCTATTTACATCCATTTTTAATGTCCGTCACGCTCCCAGGATGTGAGTTATGAGTGTTGTCTCAGCAAAAAATAAACGCAGGATCAAGGTAAAATCACTTGTTACGGTCTTTTCAGCGCCAAGGTAAAGCAATGCTGAGTAGTGTTTCAGATGGATTATTGGAGTGCTATTTAACTCTGGACCACTTGAGCAAGTTTGGACGACTATACAGGGTATCCCAAAAAATGTTTAGAACGTTTGATCGTTAATATCTCTCTCCCCAAGAAGTCTTTTGCCTTGCTTCAGGTACCGTTTTGTAGAGCTGGCTTCAACTTAGATTTCCATTATAGAACGAATCACCCATCTCTCTTCATTACTGTAGGGTTACGGTAGAAACTTCAAAGAGGGTTTTGAACATGAAAGGCCATATTTTGCCTCAGAAAGGAAACAAAACAGCCTGAAAACTTTTACACCAGGCTAATTAGAATTGCTGATTATAACTGTAAAGTTCCCAACTTATTATGATGCTTCATTGAAGAGTTATGCCAGGTGAGAGGTAGCGGCCTTTTTTTCAATGTCCCTAAAAAGTGCGATTACACCGTTTAGAAAGCTTCGTAATCTTGTGAATAGTTGAGTATTGAACTCAGCGCCTATAAAAACCCTATTACACAAGTTTTCACAATTTTTTGAAAAATTTTGAAACGGCAGCTTTTTCCACATTGATACCATATGTTTCAAGTTTCTACCGTAACCCTACAGTCATGAAGAGAGATGGGTGATTCGTTCTATAATGGAAATCTAAGTTGAAGCCAGCTCTACAAAACGGTACCTGAAGCAAGGCAAAAGACTTCTTTGGAAGAGAGATATTAGCGATCAAACGTTCTAAACATTTTTTTTTGGGACACCCTGTATTCCCGATGCGTATTTGATTTTCAACCCAAAAACACTCTAACTTGGCCTCATAGATCTGGATTCATCGTTCAATAAGTCAACTGGGAAGAACATTTCGATCAAAAAGATTTCTCTTATCAGCGCAATCTCCTAACCGTTCTCCTAATTGTACTCCGTAATCTATGGGTATCTGAAGCGATTGCTCGCAGTACTGAGGGAAAGATGTGTTTGAAACAGGCTGCCATCTGAAGCCCACGAACACTATCATCGCATTTTTCTATGATGACCTGCTGTGATTGATTGAATGTAGAGATAAAGATAAGCAAAGCGGATCCAAATAATTAACATCGGCCACAGAAACACTCCGCGAATATACTGAATGGGTTCAAAGCATCTTGATTTGTGATATCCAGCTGTGTGGAATGTTCTTCATAGAACAAATTGCTCCAGTTTGTTTGCACTAAATTTTGATAGAGAAAGCTTTAACCACAGGTCACAAGACCCCCATGACTTGATGTAAAGAAAAGATGCTCACTATGCTAAGAAATAGGTCAATGTTGTTATGAAATTGTTATGATGGTGAAAGTATATGCGCGCACATAGAATGAATATACAACAAACCTTTGTATTGTAAGTATGTCCGCCCATGAGCTGCACAGACTACAGACGGCAGAACTAAGTATTAGCACAGAATAGGCGCGAAAATCCTTCGAAGTTTGTTTAGCAGCCAAATAAATAACTAGAGTATTGAAAAAAGTACCCAATAAAAAATTGATAAAGTGCACTAAGCCTGCCATGTAGGTCATGTTGAGATGTTCAGTTGGGATAGAACCGTTCACCATTTTCGCTCAATTGAGCTCTAAATTGGAGAGTGTATGAAGGATAAACACAGTAAAGATAACTACAACTCTTATTACGACTTGTATTTCGTTTTATCATCGTAAAATTCCATAAAGGCTGAGAGGCGTCTTCTCAAAGTATGGCGCTTTCATTAGTTTCGAGATTTGAAAAGCAGCATTGCGATGTAGGCCCAACGAAGTTATAAAAGTTGAAGAAAGCCCACAATGCTCCGCTTTTATACGTATTTCTGAGTCGATCTTACACCTCTTGTTTCTAGCCTCAATATCATGGAAATGTAGCCAGAAGAAATGCAGTTTTACGCACTATTTTTGTAAAAAAAAGAAAGCATTTGAGTATTCGAATAGTTCTTAACGCATATTCAAGCATTTCAGAGATTTCTTTTGCTTGCCTGGAATCACGAGTTCAACCACAAGTTTAGGCACTTCTAAGTCCAAGGCAACGAAGTGATTACACCTCGAAGGCACTCTTCTAGATAGCCTAGGTGACCGTACAAAAATTATGTGAAAAATAGTTCATAACTTACTTCAAACATTCGCTTAGTAGTTAGCAAAAGCAGATTTGTAATCAGTGTTTTAAGACATTTTCAATGATACTTGTCTCATTAAGAAGGCCACGGTCACCAAGTATCCTAACCCTGTAAGCCATTGTCCCAGGGATCTCTTGGTGGTCAAACTCGGGCGACCGCCTGGTCAAGTTTCAGTTAAAAATCATAGAGGAAGTCCAAGTAATCAGATTTGCTCAGATCACACCTATTCCTTGAATCCTTGAGCTAATGTAAGCAGAAGACAACTTGAAACTGCACAAGGATTGACAGCAAGCGTTTGATGTAACTGATATGTGGTGACCAAACTTGTGTCTCTGAGATTATATGCTGAGATCCGAAATTTTGAACTATTGAAAATCTTGAACTTTTAACTTTGCTCGATCACGGATAATAGGAGCAGTGGTCATTTTGTAAAGCTTGCTTTGCTTTGATGGGTACCCATCCATTTCTTTGGTGGTCACACTGTCGTTTCAGCGTACGCAACGCCACTATTTTCGTGACAACCTAAAAGATTTAGCAATGAGCTGCTAGATATTTACAAGGAGTAGAGACTGCAGTCAATCATTAGAGAAATAACATGCTTATTAAGTGACTCGCAAAGGAATTTTTGAGAATAAATGTTTGGTTCCTGGCTAAGGGTCTTTCCAAAGCACTGTTTCCGCATTTTACTAGACGTTTTTGCTAGAAATGGCGAAATACAGGGTGTCTCAAAAAGATGGGAGCACCGTCCGAGTTGGTCCCATTTTGTAAACCTTCGAGAAGGATTTTAGGAAATTGGCCAGGAACTCTTGTACTAGACTAATCGAAGTCGCTGATTATGGATACGGATTTGCACTTCACTGTAATGCTTCTTTCAGAAGTTATTTCAGAGGGAAGCAACTGTTTTTACAATGTTCCTCAGAAGTATAACTGTGCCATTACAAGAGCTCAAAAAAACTGGCGAAAAGTTGTGTAGTGAAATCAGCAGCCCGAAAACCTTGCTAGGCAAATTCTTAGGCTTTTTTGGGATTTTTTTCATCAAAAGGTCTATACCGCAGTGGCACTTTATGCTGGAAGTTCATACCGTAATCCTATAGTAATGAAGAGCGGTTGATGATTCGGTCCATCCTGTAAATCTAAGCTGCGCCTAACTCGCCTCGCCTAGAATATTACCTCAAGCTCGGAGAAAGACATGAAAGAAGAGAGTTGTCAAGAATTAAACAGTGTTCGCATCTTTTTGGGAGGCTATCTACATAATGGACTTTGAAAGCAAAAACCTGAGTTTCTCTCACATGTGATCGTTTACTACAAACGGAAATACTGTTATAAAAATTCTCCTATATGTCTTTGGGCAAATGAGAATCAAGCAAAAACATTGAAAGACATGTGGAATCAGAATTTCTAGCCTATTTTTCATTTTTGATTTGTACTCAAGGAAAATTCAGTACTTTCATAAATGTTGCTACATGTTTATTACATGATAACCGATCGAAAGGCTAGTAGAATATTTTTCGTAAAAAGAGCGATTTTTGTGGAAATTGAAATTTTAAAGAACACGAGTTATGCAGATGCTTAAGATCACTAGCTGGCATACCGTCTTCCCGGTTCATGAACCACGGAGCCAGAGGAAGGAGGGGGAGGGAGCGCATAAAATATGTGTTCTCTTTCAAAACCTACACCCTTCCATCTTTCATCCCGCTTCCATCTGCTGCATTTCTGCCCTCCCTCCCCCCACTTTCCTTCACCGGTCCCGCAGCCTATATCCACCTGCACGGTGCGTTGTAATTGCAAATGCATACCTCAAAGCAGCATCATCTGAAAGTACCGCATCCTTCTGACCGCAAAATAAGAATGAGCTTCTCTGCTATTATTTATTAGGTTGTAAAGAAAGTTCCCGGGCACTTTTGGAAATTTCATTTTGAAACGCCTTTTTTCGGCGCTCGGTCGGACTCTGACACCAAGTTTTTTATACTGTTCAGTAGAGGGAAGCCTGAAGTTTTCATTACCGCTTCTGATTTCTATCGAGGCCAAGACGTGTTCGACCTGCACATCAAAAAAGGAAATCTTTCCAATCACAAAAATTTCGCAATTTTTCTTCCTGCTCCCATTTTTCTGTGCATTTCAAAGAATTTCGTCCAAGTCATGAGTGATCTAATTGAGGAACTTGTAAACTTCTGACCCGCAGCTGCACTCGAGTTTTGCGATTTGTGCTCACAAGGGAAGGATACATGGTCGAAGTGGCATTTCATCTTGAAATGTATACTGTCTTATAGAGCTTAGGACGCTGATTCCGAATCTGTCTTCGTTATCTGCCGAG